GGTCCAAGAATCTGCTATACTGTTTGGCTGCTGGTTGTTGACTCCCTAAAGAAGTTAGGCATCTGGAGACTTTGATCTGATCTGATCTTAAGCTCAAGCTCTGGAGACTGGATTTGTAACTCCTGCTTTCAACCATTACTGCAGCCAAAGATGAAAATGATTACATTAGCAGTGTAATATCAAGACAAATAGGTATCTTTGCTGAGTTTGACACTGCACTCATTGCTGTCATTAAATTTCATCTCATCCCAGTGGAGTGGTAGCATTCAGCACGCCAGATTGAATTTTGCATTTGGTTGTGCCAAAGATCACTTTGAGCTCTCGCTGATAGCAGCTCTGGCAAATTCTGACTTTGATCAGAGGCTAATGAATTCACAGCAAACAGTTGTCGCCAGTCTACAGTTTCCAGATCGTCCAGCACAACAGTTATTTGTACTGATAGCGTGTAGAAATTTTTGTCTGATGTCTGTCAGAGTAGTTTGGATGTAAGCCATGTCCACAGTGTGACTGTCATACCGTCTCTCCCAGCACACTTCCCCAAAACAGGCAGCTGCTCTAACAACGTTACTGAACCGGCAGGCACCGAACCACCCTGTCGATATGGAGTAAACGAGCCCAAACTTTCCCCAAACCTGTAAATATTAACCCTTTAACAAGCATTAACGTAAAGCTTTGTGAGAGAGGAAAGACACTGCCGCAGTCATCTCCACTCCTCAGCAGCAGTGACCTGAGGTGGCGAGCCCAGGCTGCCGGGTGGGATGTGCCACAGAGCAGGGCACAGCACAGCAGCTGTGCCCCAGCCCCAAGCCTCCCCCTTGTGAAAAGGAGGGCTTCAAAGAGGAAGGCTGCAGAGAGGAAGAGCAGGGAGACAGACCTGGACTGTCCTCGAGTGCAAGGATAACTGAATCCAGTCGAACCTGTCATGATGTTGACGCACTTGTTACGTACAGGCATTTCGCTGCAAAGAGATTCTCTGCTTCCCTGAGAACACAAAGACAAGAACATTTTCTTTCCTTTCTTTTAGCATAGTACTTCAGCAATACTTACAGATACAGTGCAACAAGTTATTCTCATTGATTTTTTTCATGAAGCAAATGCAATGACCTCAGCCCAAATCAGAGCCTAACACATCATCCATCAGCTCTTAGCCAGTTAAGAAAGAGCATCATTTACTTGATGTGAGCAACTGAAGTTTCCTCTCTTAAAAGTTGCTACGTGCAATATCTCTGGAGTATGGGTCTGGTAAAACCAAAGGATGAGCACTAAAAAGTTATGTCTGACTTCTGAGTGCCTATCTCTTTCTAATGATGAACCAAGTCTTCAAAATTCAAGTCAAAGCAATACAGTTTTCCAGCAATTGTTTTGCATATTTTAAAAATCATGTAAACAGTATTAGTTTCCTATTTACTGCACATGATTCTGTACTCTTTTGCTTATCCTCTTTTAAACATGTAATTATTGTATATTGTAACTGCATATTAATAGCCTCTATTGTACATAGTTTATTTTAACAAAATAAATGTATTACTAAGTATTTTGACAGCATCATTCGAAGAAGGTAGTGTCGCACTGCATATTTTCCCAAATGCTAATCACTTACATTCAGCATGACATTTTAGGCAGGAAAAATATGCACTGATATATAGGATTGATTGCTTTTGGGTGGTCCAAGAACCACCTGCACCTTCCAGTGACCCCTCCAGCAACACAAAAAGTGAAACAGGAGGTGATAGTAGGCTTGCTAGGTCTCAAGTATGTCCCTTTGGGCAAACTGCTGCCAAGCCAACCCCCCTGCAGCCTGGACGCAAGGGACAGGTGGAGATGTGGGACCTGCAGGTCTAGCTTCCTGCTGGCCCCCAGCCTTCAGCTTACTCCAGTCCCTGCATATCCCACAAGGACTGGCCTGGAAATATTTATTCTCCCATCCTCAAACAATACTGAGGTGCTTGGTTTGTTGATTGTTTAGGTATTACTTCTCCCCTGGCCTGTAGATAAGGGGTTCTTGCTATTACTGTCTGCGGTCTCCACTGAGATATCATGGCACCATAAAAGGATTATTTTCTCCCCTGAGTGAATATTTATAGTGTTTTGGAGAGAAGCCAGCATGCAGCAGCCTTGTAAACATAGGAAGCTCTCTCGATAAAACAGCTAGGGAAAGCATCAGTCCAAGAGTTTTGAGGGGAGTTTGTTACCCCCTTAGCAAATCTAACACGAGGGTAACAAAACCCTCCAACAAACCCTTAGCGGGGGTAAGGAAGATGATGAGCTGTGTAACATTTGGCCCAACAGACAGGACAGGGAGAGGAAAGAAGGAAAGTGAAACGGTTAAAGGGCTGAAGAAATTAGATGAGGAAAGACAGCCCTTAAATGCTGGGCTAAAATCAAGAACATGACTGCCTGCCACTGGAGGAAGCTGCCATTAGTCACCAGTCCTGCTGTGGCCAGGCCATACCCAGGAAGAAGCAGCGTGGAGGACGTGTACTGCCTTTAACACCAAGGTGCTGAATGCATCCTCCAGTGCAGAAGCTTCCCAAACTGCTGCCTGGATGTACCCAGGGAAGGATACTGCTATACAGCCCAATGCTTATACCGAGCATCCGCTCCTGGCTAGGGTCAGAGGCAGGATATCGGGTGAGACAGCCCTTAGCTCGGGCGCAGGGCAGTGGTTCCTGTTTTCCTGTGAGCACAATGAGAGCAGGAGGGAGCTGCCTATCCCATCCTACAAAGAGAAAGCCAGTCAGTGCAGGAAACACGCACCCAAGGTCGCATCCTGCCCTTCCTCTCGCTGTAACTCAGGTTTGAAGATGGGGTAAAATATGTTCCCGACTGATTTCTGACGGGGTCGGTCCTGATGGACATGCCAACTGCTGCATGCAAACGAGGGGAGCTGAGCCTCAAGACAGTGGTTGTCTTGACAATACTCTGAAAGTATTGTCAAAAATGAAAGCACGGCGTGACTGTGACTATTGCTGTTCACATCAGAAGAGTGACAACAAATCCAAGAAACAGAGAGCTGTGCAGGATGCAGACATGAGTCACCAGAGACCTACAGCCTGCTCCAAAATGCACTAGGGAGAAAAAACTGGCTGTATTGTCACTCCCAGTGCCCAGGAGGGAAACCGAGGCAGAAAGAAATCCACTGTTTTGCCCAAGATCACCTGGCATGCTTATGGCAGAGCCAAGTCCAGACTCAGAGCTATACAGTTATGCCTTCTCCATACCTGCACCTTCTCCTTTCCGAGCAGATAGATGCAACCACCTCCCTTCCTTCAGAAAGTCACTGCAGCAGGCATTTTGAGGATTTTTGCCTGGTGCTGGTGCTCAGTGTCCAGGTGAAAGTGACAACAAATGTGCTGGTTGGGCTCCATTGCTGAGATAATACGTGGGATGCAATGGCCTCTGTGACAAAGTCTCCTTTGCAAACTTGCACAGCAAAGACAGAAGGGCTGTTTAACTGCTTTGGACAGGTGGGAAGGTGAGATACAAATTTATGGCTTTAAGGAGCATTAAAAAGCCCCCAAGGAAAAGGCAGCAGCCTGGGAAGAGGATCCTCATATTCTGAACTGCGTGGGCTATTTTGACTGCCTGCAGATTCTGAGCAGGACATAAACTCCCAGCTGCAGCATAAAGGAAGTGAAAGCCAAAAGACCTGTTTCCAAGTATTAAAATTGGTGAATATTTAACATGCTAAAGACCTAGGAGCATACGAACTTCTTAAAAAAAAAAAGATTAGGAATAGGAATCAAGCTGGCTCCTTGAAACTCATTGTGGTGTGCCCTACTTGTAGGAGCCCAGCAGAGTTAGAAAAGAAGTGCTCCTGCAGCAAGTTTGCAGATGACACCAAGATGAGTGGTGCAGTTGGTAACAAAAGAAGGAAGGTCTGCCGGCTGCCATCCGTAGGGACCTGGACAGGCTTTGGAAATGGGCACGTGAACCTCATGAGGTTCAACAAAGTCAAGTGTGAGGTCCTGCACCTGGGTTGGGGCAATCCCAAACATTAGTACAGATGAGTGAATTGAGAGCACTCCTGTGGAAGACTTGGGTGTACTGGTAGATGAAAATTCACTCATGAGCTGTCAGTGTGCACTTGCAGTCAAGAAAGCCAACTAAATCATCCCTTGGCTGCACCATCAGCAGCGTGGGCAGCAGGGCAAGGGAGGGGATTGTTCCCCTCTGCTCTGCTCTCCTGAGACCCCACCTGGAGCCCTGCACCCAGCTCCGGGGCCAGCACAAGGACAGGGACCTGCTGAAGCCAGTCCAGAGGAGGCCACGAGGATGTTCAGAGGCTGAAGCCCCTCTGCTGTGGGGACAGGCTGAGGGAGCCGGGGGCGTTCAGCCTGGAGAGGAGAAGGCTCCAGGAAGACCTCAGAGCAGCCTGTCAGGGCCTAAAGGTAGTGAGGCGCTGGCCCAGGCTGCCCAGAGGAGCTGTGGCTGCCTCATCCCTGGCAGTGCCCAAGGCCAGGCTGGATGGGGCTTTGAGCAATGTGGTCTGATGGGAGGAGTCCTGCCCATGGCAGGAGGTTGGGTGGAATTAGACGGGCTTCAAGGACTCTTCCAGCCCAAACCATTCTGAGATTCTAGGAAAAAAGTATGTGCAGGTCAAATGGGTTGCTGGAATCTGTATTTCTGTATTCACTGTATTTTTGTCACCCACAGTAAAACCACAGCAACTCCATTCATTTTGGCTCTTCTCCTTAAAAGACCATCTAGAAGTGTTAGCTTGGTTTCAGTCAATACATTCTTCCCACTCCTCCTCTTCTGCCTCCCAAGTCTGGCTGCTACTATGTCAGTCAAAACCTCCCTTCACAGCCTGCAGTGTTTTCTTCTAAAACCTCATTTGGGTTTCTACTGCCTCACCATCTCCAAGTACTGCCTGTATTTCCCGTTGTCTGCAAAGGATGTTTGCCACTTTCTAACCCTACTTTTAATCCTGAGATTATAGCACAGCCAGACTCCGTGAGAGAAATCCAACGAAGGAAATGACTTCACATCAGCATGGAGGAGATGTTTTGCAGGTGTTCACAACTCTGGCAAAGAGTTTATAGGAGCTTACACATGTTCTATACGAGAAACCTCTATGCATAAATAAAGAAGGACACGTTGCTTTAAATTGCGTTCATACTACAATTTGGGGGTTTATTAAGGACACAAAATATTTTGTAGGTTTCCCGTAGTAGTTGTGATGCTGGTTAGAACAATAACAAGCTTGGAGAGATTGAGAAATGCAATTTGTAAGAAAACACAAGGACTTTTTAAGGCAGTTAAACTCACCATCACCAGAAAACCACTCCTGCTGCTGTTTGATATAGCAGTCTATATTCAGAATTATCGAGGGCAGATGATAAAATTACCTCCCTCCTACTCAGTCACAGTGCATCTTTCACAATTCCAGACAAAACATGACACCAACTAATAAATTACAGGTTAAATTAAAAAGGAAAAAAAATCTGTCTCAGTGAGGAGAGGACACCTGGGGAAATTTTAGGCATGCATCCCTGGAAATGAAGTCAACTGCATCCAGAAGACACTTAATTGGAGAGGAAGTCAGGTGCTGATATTTCTCTCAGCAGCAATTCTCTCCTAATGGCTATCTGAGAAGTCATCTTTGTTTTGTAAACTCCTGTGAGCCCATTGCATTTGCCAAAATCTTCATGCTTTTACATCATGTCCCATTTTGTTCAGGGGAGAAATGAGATGAACATGCATCTGTCCTCTTCCAGGTGGGAACCAGAGGACAAAGGCACTTATGGAGCTGTGGTCACTGAGGGGGCTGCTGCAGCAGCTCCTACATGTCCCCTGGTTTGTAAATAGTGGGTTTGAAGAGGTGTGAACCAACCTTTGACACGTTTGCTGTCTTCCTGGTCCTGGGCCTATCCCACCCTTGGTGGCCATGTTATTGGGTATCAGACAACGCCACACCTCTCCTGTGAGCACTTTTGGCTACCCTCTGGCTCTGTGTGCACTGTCCTTCTTGAGAAGCAGGTCTCCAAGGAGCTCAGCAGTGCAAGGAAATGTGGGAACACCCTTCATGGCCCCCTCCTTCCCATCACCTCAGCCAGGGCTCACTGAAACCAAACCATCATCTGCCGTGTTTTGGCTTGGTCCCTCTAACTCTGGAAATTGTCAAGGGAGGTGCCTTGGGCTGTGCAGAGCCTCTCTGATTTTATATGAGGTCAGCTCTGCTCCAGGACAATCCTGGAAACAGCAGGATGGGAAAAAATGCATCTTTGTGTTTTTTACAGATTTAATGTGCTTCTTTCCATTTTTTTTAAGGAATCGTCCCTTGTGAGGCAACATTTTTTTCAACAGAATAGCTCCAATTAAGCAAATTACTGAAACACGTGCTTAACTATAAGTCCCCTGATATTAAGCAAAGCACTTAATCATGAGCTTAAGTACTTTGCTGAGCCAGGGCTAAGGATGCATTCACCCTAAGTTCAAGGTGGTGATTTGGATACCCATTTCCATTTAATTGGCCTAACGGCCTTTTCTTTGACAGTTATTCCTGATAGACTTCAGTGTAAGAAGAACAGGGGGGCGAGAAGGGGGGAATGCTGGTAATTACATTTACATTACTGGGAAGGCGCTAAAACCTGAAATGAATAAAGAGGCTGTTCCACCAGCTGTAATGCCTTCATGGCCTGTTTCCAATTGCTCTGTGACTATTTAGTCCATGTGCATTTTGTGCGTGAAGAAAGGTCACATACTGTGAAAAGCCTGTGAAGAAGGGAAACAGCATCCTTTTTTTCTTTTCCATAGGATTTGCTATTGTAAGGCTCTGCATTACGTTTCTACAGCTATAGTGCTTTAAACAGCATGGGGAGAAGGGATTAAGCCTCATCTGCCTAGGAAAGTCAATGATTAGGAGCATTAGATGGTAAGATCAAATTCTGGACTGACTCACACCCTCCGTAAGCCTGGAGATACCTGGGGTGCAGAGCCAGGGAAGAATCTGGCCCTCCCTCACCTGCCCTGGGGAAGGAGAGCTCAGGCAGTCTCACACTCGGTGGTGGCAGTGGAGCAGATGTCGCAGTCGCAGCGGATGGCCACAGGATAAGTGTAGAAGGGATCCACACCCGGGGCACACTTCGGCAGCATCACCGTCACCAGCTTGGTCTCGTTGTAGGTGCACACGCGGTGATAAGACTCGATGTAGGGCGGTTCCAGAATTGGCCTCTGTGGGGGACAAATGCTGGCATCATGCAAGATGTAAAACAAATATTTGGGGTCCCAGTTTCCTCAAGGGGACTTGGTGTAGATAGAGAAACCACTGGATCAAGATGGAAGGGGCCACAGGAATAATTTTTAGGTTACAACCTGCCCCTTGGGTCCAGTCATGAAGGGGAATGGGTATATGTGCATGTGTGTGAGAGCCTGAAGCACTAAGTTCCAACTAAAGCCACCTGAAGGAAGACAAAAGCCTACTCAAAAAAGCTGTTTTTCAGCAGAATACTATTGTGTTTCAACCAAATTCAGGTTTGCCAAAAGCAGCTGCCTTCTTCCAGAAGCGGATTTTCCATCAGAGAAAGCACATGCTGCAGGAAACCCTTCTTTGTGCACAAGGTGCCTGAGAGCAGAGGTGCACATGGGTGCCATGCAGCTGGCTCCCTCTCAGCCAGACCAGTCCCCCCAGTCATGCTGCATGTCCTACAGATCCTAGACCCCCCATATGGGCTGCACCCACGAGATGTTCCTCATGAGATGAACAGCTTGGCCAGAGACCTCAACCAGAAAGAGACAGGAGCCTGAAGGCCCTGAACCCCGCACTCCCACTTGGAATGATAGTGGCATAAATTTTGCTGAAAAGTTTTTCCTCAACAGAAGCACGTGCTTTCCTGAGACTCCAAGAAGGGGCAGCACAGACAGGAGCAGGGGGAGCCCACTGTAATCCTTTTCCTCACAGAGATGTGAAAAAGCATAAAGTAATGCAGCCAGAAGACATTTTAGCATTTTCTTTCTTTCCCTCTGTGCTTTGGAAAGAGCCTGCGCTAGGAACCAAGAATGATGGCATGGAAAAGAACAGATGCAATGTTTCAGCGAGAAGATATCCAGACACCCTCCCTCTTACCAACCTCCCCCATCCAGGGGGCTTTCTAGAAGCTGCTAAGCCTACATCCAGATCCATTCAGCTGAACTACATCCCCATGGTACTGCAGTGCAGTACGAGAGCCTACAAAGTCTGTGCTACCAGAGGTGCTCACTATGTCCCTTGAAGGAACCTTATTCCACCGGGGAAATCCAGGAGCTGGTGGCCTTTCCCTTGTCCCACCAAGCAAGGAAGGTGGGCTGTCAGAGCCCACATGTTCCTGCTTCACTCAGTTGTACAGAGCCCTTGTCTTTACATGGACAAAACCCCTCTGGAGCTTCCCTGAAGAAGGTCTAGGGCCCGGGTTTGGCCCCTTGAGCCACTCAGTGGCAGAAAAGCAATGAGTCAGAAACTTGCTCTCTGAAGTATGTGCAGACTTGTGTTCTCTTTCCCTACACCCCCAAAACATAGCTACTTCACATTTATACAGGGCTGTGATTTAAAACACAGCCAAATTAGAAACAGACATTATATTTGGGATGTGTCTTTTGGAACACAATATATTACCTCACAACTGGGAGCTCCATCTTGATCTCAAAGGAATATTCTTTAAGTAAAGTAATAAAGACCTCCTCTCCTTAAGTTTTTAAGCCACAAGAGGCTTTCGAAATTCCAAAATGCGAGCATTGCTCAAGTGTTTTGTTAATATCATCATGTGATGATGCATATTGCCCCTTGAGACCCTGCAAGGAGGGAGGGAACCACCTGCAGCAAGGCACTGACACAGACAGCAAGGGGCTCATGGAGCGGGACACAGCCCTTGCTTGCCCCGTAGGCAGCCACAAGCAATTTAATGCCTTTCTTTTGAGGGCTTTTCTTGGGAGGGGGTAAAAGCCCAGAGTCTCACCTCCCAGGTCTCGCAGCGTCCCCAGCACGCATCCGTCGTGATCCGCAGCGCCTTGCAGCCAGGCTTCTTGGCCAGGAAGGTGAACTCGCGCACGGCGCAGCCGATGAAGGTGCGCAGGTCGATGGCGGAGCTCTCGGGCTTGCCACCGTGGCCTGCTGGCAGCAGGAAGAGCAGAGTGGCCAGGATGACGCACTGGAGCTTCATGCTGTGGCAGAAGGGAGAGGAGTGAAGGGTTGGGAGAGCCAGGATGGTGGCACAGTCCTGGAAGTGAGAAGTCCAAGTCCATAGGTTCAGCACAAGAGCCAGGACAACTCCTCCTCCCCTCTTTCCCTTCCTCACTCAGCCTACAAGAAGGTGGGCAGATGAGGGGTCACCTGCTCCCATAATGGAAATCTTATTGCCACGGTCTGTGTCAGAAAGCAGCAGCCTGCAGGCTTTCCCCACAAAGCAGTGGGGTTTCTGGTAGAAAATAGCCACCTACCAGTGCCTCAAACCCACTGAAATCCCCATATCTCAAGTTTACAATGCAGCAAATGCCTTCCTACCACCCCTGATGGTGCCCTTGCACCAGGCCAACAGGCAGACAGGCCTCTGGTCACCCTCTCAGGGCACACTCAGATCAGTACCAATCCTGGCAGGGGAAGTTTGTCAGGGCTGTGTCTGTCTGTCTGTCTGCTATGCGTGCTTACAAGAGGTAGCAGGACAGCTGCAGCTCCCTGCGTTCAGCAGGGTTAGGCCTGCAGAGCACACCGGCATTTTGCTGAGGGCACCTACTCCTGGGTTTACCCTACTTACCCTTCAGCCTCAGTCAGTAGCCAAGCACCCCTGAGCGTGTGCTATAGCCTCTGGAGAGAGATCAGCACCTCCCAAAAGCAGCACTGCTGTTACCATTACCAAGACCCTGAGCACTCATCTGGCACTGGGTCACTCCCTGGGCTGCCACCAGAGAGGTAGATGCAACCCTTGTTTTTCCCTAATGAATGCTGCCCTAGCAGCCAGCTGAAACCCAATCAAGGCTGCCAAGCTGGTGAACAGAGCTGGTTAGACAGGAGGGACGTGGCCAAGGTGACCAGAGGAGGCTTGGACTCCTCATGCCTCCACACAGCCTGCCATAGGCCAAGTCCCTCTGGTACTTGCTGCCTTTCTATCTCAAACCTTTGGTGAAGAGAGCAACCAGTCTCTCTGGAAAACTGTCAGAAAGAGAAAGAAATGGAAAGTAACTCGAGCTCTAAGCCACAATATCCACTTTATACCTCCCATACTTGCATTGCATTTAAAAACATCCACCTAGAAACCCCAGACTTGACATTTAACTTTGAGAGAGAAGGTCAGCTGCTGAATACGGCGCAGAGAACTTGAGTGCATTGGGCTGTGTCCACAGCTGGATACATTTCAGGAAAATGAGCTCGGCCTGCCTTTTGCCTGACTGAAGCTGAGTCTCTAGGCTTCCATTAAACCAAATGCTTTAAATTTGCTAAACCAGAGTTTTAGATCAGCACATGGAGTTTGCTACAGTGAACCCTTCACTTATGTGGCCATGCATATGCTGTTATCTTACATGTGATTAAATGAACATATATTTATATATAAGCTTCAACAGAGTTAAAAGAAAAAAATCTATTTTTCCTTATTTTTAATAGCAGGCATCTGAGGGCAAAAGAGACAAACTTCAGAACAAATTGAACATCTATTCTTTGCCACCTTAGCAAAACTTGCTGCTTTATTCATGAGTCAGAGCCACGATGGAGCAAACACAGAAGCACACTCACCTAACTTGTTGAAGTCAGATCTCCCTCAGCAGGTTTAAATTGCAGACAGTGTTTCAGAGTGTCAGAGTGAGCAGCAGGAGACCTGCACAGCAATCTTTGTCAGGTTTGTGCTCACTAGATCTCCTTAGCAGCTGCTACTGGGCTGCTTAATTGCTCGAATTTATAGAAAGGGTCTTGTCAATCAAGGCAAGACTGAGGCAGATCCTTACATGAACTACCCAAGGCATCGAAGTCATTGACTGTAAAAGTAAGCCTCTCCTTTCCAACAGCAATTAGCTTACAGCATATTGTTTCATAACTCCAGCCCCAAAACAAAAGGATTTTCTTGGTGAGTGACATTGTGCCTTCAAAGTAATGAGCACGCACTGGGGCAAAAGGGATCTTTTTTTTTTTTCCCCATAGAAGAGTTGCAATACCTTTGGAAAGAGGTTGTAGGCTGCTTCTGAAATAATCATTACCCCCTGCACTCAGCAAGTCCTGAGTAAACACCCTGAAGAAACACTTTGCAAATATTCGTGCTAACAAAACCCTGAATTTTTGTCAACAGGATAAGACCTTTTTTATTTGATTGCTCTGCACAAGCAAGGGCAATGGATTGGGGAAGGATGAGCAGCTATCACACAGGTAAGCAACGCTATGCAAAGGAAACGTGGAAATGTGTCCACTGCCTTCAGCATGCAAATACAATTTCAGCTATTTATAGGACAGAAGGAAGCTGAGGAACCATGGTGCTAGGAAAAACTCACCGGTCAGTGAGTTTGTAAAACATAAGTAGTGAAAGAAGTGCAAGTGAAAAGTGATTTCTGTGAGTACCAGTATGAAATGTATTCATCTGGTGGGTTGCATTTCAGCCTTCTGTTGTATGACATGGAAACCAGCAACTAGCTGTTGAGTAAATGTGCTATCTAAGCACACAGGAACAAACAAGATATATTACATAGGTGCTCTAGGTGTTTTAGGGTGACTAACCCATGGTTCAGGGTCCTGGCTTCACTTCCAAGGTCAAAAGTATAAATTTGGAGCAGTACTTGGACTCAGTCAAACACCTCCTGGGAACCCACAGAGCTCTTACTTCACTTTACTTTTCAGCTTGGAGCAGCCACTGCCTGGCTGTTTTTCTTGCTGCTCTGTGGCCCTGCTATTTCCCTGGTCAGTAAATTATACTGATTGCATGCACACAAACTGACTTGTAAAAGGCTTGCTATTTGCCTCTTAAATTTGCCATTTCTGTCTAAATTAGGAAATGGTGATTGGAACAACTGAAAGGGGGAAGCAATTCTGTTGTCTGCAGTCTCACGCTGACCTCAGGACATTTTGCATAGCTAAGAGCTGCTGTTTGTTCTACAACCATCATCCTAATCTTTCTCCTTCCACCTTCTCCCTCCCCAAAGTTACTCTTGTTTTATGCATTTTTAATGCAGCAGCACATGAGGTCCCTCTCAGGTCTCAGGTTTTATCAGCCATCCAAAAGATCTGCCCAGAGTCTGCAGTAAGAGAGGCTGAGCCTTGCACATGGAGATCTTGGGAGTAAACTGGGTACGGACAATTCTCATACCATGAGTCTCCAGGAGTGACAGCTAGCAGCAAAGGACTCCAGCTTCAAGTCAAGACCCATCACGTTAGATGATGAAGGAGGAATACTGGAGAGGTATTGCAATGGACTCCACAGACCTCATCACCAGACATGCCCTGGGCACCTTTTCTGTCAGTGAAACCAATGGCATATTGGAAAAGCAGGAGATCCAAAGCCACATCAGATCACAGGGAGGTCAAGAGAAATAGCCAAAGTCTTGCCACTGATCTAAAAATATCAGCAATTTTCCATTTAAAAAATCTCTGATTTTCTGCTTGTTTCTTTGCCATTGTGGACCAAAAATAAAGCTATTAAAAGAAACCTTTAGAAACTTTTTTTTTTTTAAAAAAAAGTACTGTTTAGAAGTTCCTACTTGCAGAGAAACCAGGTAAAAATAAAAATATTGGTTGCAAATTTTCATCTGATTCTGAAAATGTGCTAGTAAAAATCATCCCAAGATTACACACAGATACACGAAATACATTCCAGATGGCATATCAACCAGCTTTGACAGATTCCTCTTCTTCTATGGACTAGAAAAACAAGGGCTGGACTTTTGGTTTGTGTAATCCAGTTTGTTTCACTGACTTCTGCTGAGATTCTGTTCTCCTGTCTTCACTTGTACTGAAAAGCCTCATGAAGCAAAATGAGACAAATGGCAAACTGACCCTTCTCATTTATTTCCTCTCATGAAAGTCCTATCTCTTCATGGGACAGACACTGATTTCTGAAGGATTTGCATCATGTCTCATGAAAAGTATGAGTGTTGGCTTTTTTCCAGGTACTGTTTTGCTGGCTTATTTTTTTCATTTAATCTAATTAACAAATATACTGAGTTCTTGTACACTTGGTCTTCAGGCTACATCAGAAATTTAAAGGCTGTGTATTTTTATTTTCCCCACATATTTCAAAATTATTTGAAATAAAGTGTGACACGCTTATCTTTAATAGCTGCATCTTTATGTCTACCATTCGCCTTCTCGTTCCTTTTCTGAGACGCACAGAACAAGATAGAAAGAGACTGACCAAGGGAGAACCTCTATGAGGTCCCACTATGCAGCTTGATATACAGCCTGTGCCCTCCAAGAGGCTTTCTGAAAAACAGTCACTTGTTCAAAAGAATTCTGGGCTTTCAGTCTCAAACACGGGGGACTCCATCGCTGCAAGAGAGCTTGGATGTCTGTAGGCTCTTCACTGCCTTCTGGATGCAATTTCATGCTCAGTCTTTCCCTATCCCATGCACAGAAATAGAGCAATACCAGGTGCTACTCACTTTAACACCACATAAAACACCAAAATTAAAATTATCCAAAGAGATTAACATTAACACCCTAATCCTTAGCTATACAGGAAATTTTTAATTCCACCCTTGTTCCTCAGTGATGAGCCTCTCAACTTCAATGAATTTTTTCCTAGTATTAAAAATCTTTACAGATTATTTGTATTTTGACCAGTCTCGAGATATCCCACTCTATGAGCAATCTGTCTGTATCCTGATTAATTCACAAACCAGAAAGAGAGAGAGAAACAAAGAGTGGGGAAGGAAAGTGAGAGCTTATACACAAGCAAAGAAGTACTGACAATGACTACGTTAGTATTTTGTGTAACATTTGGAGCAGGTTAAAAAAAAAGTTATCAACACTACTCTAACAAAACAAAAAATAGGTTTTCAAATTAAAAATCACAGTTTTTCACATCAGATGTCAAACCCCTGGTTTTCAGACAACATGGATTTTCTCAGTCTAGCACTACAAAAACATCCAGGTTTTGCCTCAGATTTATAGGACTTTCTATCAGAAGTACATTTGCAAAATTTTGTGGAGGGGCAGATAAAATGAAGAGAAAAAAAAAAAAAAAGAAAGAAAGAAAAGACATTTTTACCTCTGCTCAGTTTACTGACTTCTTGTGGATATTAACAGCATCACTGATTTTGGAGGAGGAACTGAAAACCAGAGTTGGTGGAGGTTTTACAAATGTTCTTCCTGAAATACCCTCCAAGTAAAGAAATGGAAGAGAGCATGAATGGAGAGGTCATCAGGAGGCTGAGTTAATATTACTGTACAAACAGAGGTTGGAGGAGGCAGGCTGTAGAAGGAGGCGATGAGGTGCAGTAAGGAACAGGGAGTTAATGGACTAGAAGCTTAAGTAGGATCTGCCATTGGAAAGCAAGAAAGGCACCAGGGTGTGCTACCTCATGGGAAAGACCACGGGAAATGGTAATGTTGAGTGCTTGCACACCGTAAGTACTGCAGAGAGCCAGGTAGGAGGCTGGGCAGCCACAAAGAAATTCATTGCCATTCAGACAAGCCAAGCCAGTAACTAGATAGCAGATCTTAATGCACTGGCTACAACAAAAAGGTTGTAAAATCTGTAGTCGCTCTAAACATATGAAAGAAGGAAGAGTTAAGAATGACGCTCACCACTGTGAGAAGGGTGGCAGTGTGTTCAGAAGTAACAGAGAAGGAGAAATGGATGATGAAAGATTTACTGGCCAAGTCCCCCAGAGGAGGCATTGAAGAGAGGTTAGGACTCGGGTTAGAATGGAGTTAGAAAGCCAGGTCTGTGAAGCAGGTAGATGAAGCTATGTATGGCAGAGGTAATTTGATGTACTCACTGGAAAAAATAGCACCAGACTCACTTTTCCCTCTAGAAGCTTTATCCAATATCAGACTTTGCCTCAACAGGTTGTTTGCTCTTTGCTGGTAGTTCTGAAAGAAAGATAAATTTTGTATCCTCAGAATAGCATTACAGACAAGTACATTACAGTTCTTTAATCTATCCTCACAGCTGCTGCAGATGTGTCTTGGAATGTGACTTTCTGTCATTTGCTAAGTTTCTAAAGGATGTGAAGAATTGATTTACAAAGGGACAGACAAAATAGGTTTAACCTTGAGAGGGCATGGCTGATCTAAAAATTAAAAATCAAAGGAAGCGAATAAAGCTCATACAAATGCTCTGACAGAAATACTGCCAAATGTAAGCAGGGAAAGCACAATGCAGCAATCAGGAAATGTATTCTCAAATGGTAATTAGATAAACGTTGACTTGCCCCACTAACAATGGGACACCAGTCCTAACTGAAGGTCTCAGGCACACAAATCCACTCCTCCTGCTTTAAAAGACTCATTTTGCCTCTCGAGGTTATCACAGCGCAAACTGGCACCAGCTGAATGAGTGTTCAGATGCGAAAAATGGAGTCAGAAAAGAGGATTTGTCAAGCCTGCCATGGAAATAAATCATGCCACGCTTAGTGCTTAGGGAACAACCTATCTTACAAAAAAAAAAAAAAAAAAGGAGATAATTATTTCTCTGCTGTTTTCTGTGCCGCTTGTGTTATGAATTGCCCAGCGAAGAAAACTGCAAAGTCGAGTCCTGGAGGTCTGATCTGCTGTGAAACAACACAGCACTAAATGCAGCAGGACCACAGCTGCTCCAGCACAGACACCGTCTCTCTAGCATTGCTGCTGCAGGGGGACTATCAATCACCATTCATCTCCCTCTGCATCCAGTCCTGGAAAACGAAGTCCAAGAGTAAGCTTAAACAGGAAGAGAAAAATGCTAATCCACAGTTTGCTTCAGGCATGTCAAACTCAGTGAGATAACACTGCTCTGCTGAAAAGGGCCTGTAGCTATGATGGATTCAAACCAGAGAAGAGGTAATGGAGGTCTTAAAGCCACTATAAGAGCCAGAGCTTCTGAAAATTGGTAGGCAAGCATCTCTAACACACACAGTAATACCAATAGAAGACAAATCCATAGCAGAACTGAAGGTTCAGTTCAGGATCTTGATCATAACCTGGGTTTACACAATACAGGCTAACAGGATAGCCTGCATTACAGCTGGCATATTTATATAAGTGGCACCTCAGAAAAATGAATTTCTCAAACGTTAGATTTGAGAAACGTTAGAAGAAAAACTCAGGGAAAAATTGAAAGGAAAACAGGAAGTTAAGAATGTTCATGCTCAAAAAAAAATGACACCTTCCAACAAAATACACCCAACAAAATACCAATAGTGCAAGGATAGCCACAATTTAAAATAAAGAAGTGATAAAGCAGACCAGTTTGCCTGATAAGTATCCCAGTCCATGTCATGCAAATGCTAATTCAGCTGTCTCTTACCTCTTAATGAAAAATGAAAGGGTAGAAGTATCAAGAGTGTTGGCTGGCATGGTTTTGCCTTTATGTTATCAGAGGTGATGGTCTGACTCTGTAGCTTGTTCTCTAGAGTTGGAGAGTTGCATTGCAAAGATTAAGATTTGCTTAAGACATGTTTCTCAAAAAGTGATACCAGGAAGAAATTATCTGGAAAAGGGACATTCTCAGGGAGTTCACTGAAGATTTTGGAGTTGTCACATACTGAGTGATATCAGGGGAAAAAAAGGGAGAAAGAGAAGGAGAAGGAAAAATAAGACATATCTAGATACCTAGAATGGATGAGGAGGAGAGCGTAAATGTACAACCCCACACTCAGGCTGTGGAAGTCCTTAATTGTGATCCCAAGGAAAATAAGGCAACTCCTTCCTTAAGGCTACCATATCCTTGCTCTGGAAAGGTGCATAGCTCCCAGTAACAAGGAAGAAAACACTACTAATTGGGGGGAAAATAGAGAGCTATCCGTTTTGCCAATGTCAAATACATGGTATGATCAGAGCTTAGAAAAAATATTTGGGGAAAAAAGTGTTAATTTAAGAGATACACGCAAAAAAAAAAGTCAAAAATAGGGTCTGAAAACAACAGCCACTAGGTAAACGTGCAATTGGCCATGACTGACTAACATACCCTGAAATAACATGAAAATGAGTCTAATTAACTCCAAACTCATCCTCAATACAGAGACATGCAAACTTTTCAAGAGAACACAGACTTTTGCTTGGCATGAAGTCCTTGAGTCAGTCCCTGGTTCCTGCCAAGTTTTCAGCTCTTTTGACATCTCTAAGGCAAGGCAATACGTGGGTGAATGTAAAAATAAATGGCACCCTGTAAATGACAGCTTCCAAGATTAGCTTCCTCTCTGTTCAACATTTCACCTTGTCTCAGGGGAAACTCAACAAGGAAAAATGCCTGAGCAACACCTGCAGAACTAGGGCCAAAGGAAGCTACTGAAACGGGCAAAACAACCACTGATGGAAACAACACTGATATGTTGTTATAATGCATGGGGAAAAAAATAAGGCATTAACTGATCTTAAAACATTTTCACAAAACTAGGTCATTCTTTGATCACTAAAACATAACATCTGTGCTCCTGTGGACACGTGCATCCAAACTGACACCTGGGTTCCCTGACGTTTGGTAAGGGTTGCACCAGCACTGCAGCTTTTGCTCAGGTGGGCAGTAACATGGACCCTACCAATGTATTTATAATATCTGAAAAACACTAAGCAATATAAAAACTAATAAATAAGCACTACAGTAATACTAATATTATTCTGTCAAAGCTGCTATAAACAGCCAAAGGGTTTGACAGAAATAATAAGAAGTAAGGTGAACAGGAGGATTAACTTATATATGAAAAGGCCTGCTTTATTATTATTTTTTTCAATCTGGACAGAAATGCTATAAAGCAGCAGAACAGCAGACATTTACTCTGAGATGACAGCACTCTGTTTTGCTTTATATTTTTAAGGGTATAGAATGGAAGCTTTAAATGTGCAGCACTTTACTCTCATGCTTTGTTTTCGCCTTTATCAAACCCGTAGTGAATAACTGACTTTGAATACCACACTCTGCAATTGCTTCTCACTTCTCAAACCCACTTTTGAAGTGTGCACATCCTTAAACTGTCCTCAGCTGTGGCCACATTCTCTTGCTTGCTAGACTGTTTGTGGCCCTGATTCTGATCACATTCAGTCCCATGTAAATCAAGTATTCAAACCCAATAGAGTTGGCTAAATGCTGATATAGGGGAGAGCTGGGCTCTCCATTTGCACACCAGGTAATTGTCTGCAGATCTGCCCTCAGTTCATTGCAATGTGAAAAGATTCTCCAATAAATTTAGATACTATGTAAATTATAAGTGACTGCAATAACCAATTTAACTCAGATCAATTCTGCATTCCGTAACTTTCCTCTAATGGTCTTTTGAAAAGAGATTTTAGGCTTTTATGACAGCCTAGCAGGCAATGACATAACTCTATTAATCCTCTCCTCTGGGCTCAGAAGTGGAAGATGAAGCTTCTTAGTCAAAACCATATAAGTTCAAAGATGCATTATCTTAATTCACTATTTTCCCTATTGTTTGTGTCCAGTGCACTGGAAAAAAAAGACTTCTCATTTTGACATGCATCACCACCAGAGCTAATGCTCTGTTTTCAACATTGCCTCGGTGATGAGTGAAGTTTACAAATTAGACAAAGCTAGAAGTGGAGTCTCTTGAAACAAAGCTACTGTCTCTTCCTGTGAATCCTGTTGGAATAAGCTCATGGAACTACTGAACTAATCAAATCCAGTCAGGAAAACAAATACAACATGAGTCCCAAACCCCAGAGAGGCACTTGTCCAAATCA